GTACTTGGACCCTTAGGGAAAAGTGTAGATTTTTACTTAGCGAAATCAGGTACTGGCTTCCTGCCACCTGACCCCAAAATCACACAAAGCAGCGCACGGAGAGATTTGCCGCTTTGGGATCCTTGTATGAAGGGGGGGGGGTGGTTGAGTTGGTGACCCATAAGAACGGTAAAATTGAGGCCTACGGCAAGGGAGGCGGCAAGGAGCCGGCTACTCTCGCATAGGGTTTGGGGGAGGGTTCAGGGTGTAGGATTTAGCGCGTAAAGTGGAGGTGGGGGGCTAGCAGGGGGTCGGACTCTTCTTTGCACAGTGTACTACCCTAAATTTGTGGACCCCGAGGCAGGACAGGGCTTCTATCAAGGTAAAACCTTGAATCATAATCGTGTTGAAACTACCCGTGTTTAGGGTTTAGGGGCTTTACCCTAAACCCTGAAGGCCCTAAAGCCTAAACCGGAGGGGTTGAGGATTCTAGGGTCCTTGGTTAGAGGTCAGCGCTTGGCGGCCTTGCATTTCAGGTTGTGAAAGGTGCTAGGATTTGGATTTAGGGTTTAGGTAGGATCTGGGTGTAAGGTGGAGGGTTCGGGGTTTCGGTTGTAAAAGAGAAGCCTGAATGCTGGCATGTTCACGCCACTATAGCCTAGTATACTCCATAACCCCATTCGGATCGAATGGGCCCCGCATAGGAGAGAGCGATAAGAACTCTAGGGTGACCTGTGGATCAAACTCTTCTTGTTCCCCTCGTGATCCAGGTCTATAAGTACTACCTACCTTGGGCGCTAAAGTCTAAGATTAATTTACAAAAGTCTATAAACAATCCTTACGTTGGCTTAATTAATTGGATCCCTAAGGTTCGGCTTTTCAGGAACCAGCGTTTCAATTTGTCAGCATCTGCGTCTTGGCAACTTCCACCCTGAACCCAAATAATAATGATATGATGATATTGATTATAGCAAATAACAATTGTTAGTACTGCTGTTATTATTCCAATTCTTGTCGTCATTATTTTCAATTGATTATTATTATTGTCATGTCTTCTTTTTTATGATGAATGTAAACTCTGAAAGCGCTAGAAGCTAACCCCCAAACCACCAACAAAATTATGTAAACACTAATCCCTACCACCTCACGAACCCCGACAATATAAAGAAGATAACATGAGTACCTATATATGTATATATCTCTATATATATATACATATATTATGTATATCTAGAGCGAGATAGATATAGATGTAGATATCGCAAAAAGTAAAACTCCGCCACAGGACTTTGGCGGCGGATATGGCAAGGGGTATGCCCCCTACTGAGACGCTGGGTGCGGCAGAGCTGCTATCCCTGGAGGAAGCCAGGGTTTCGAGTAAAGGATTTAGGGGCTTAGGGTTTCCAAAGGTGATGGATTTATGGACTAAGGGTTTAGGGTTTAGGGTTCAGGGTTTAGAGTTTAGAGTTTAGGGTTTAGGATTCAAGCTTTAGGTAATGCAAGGTTCTCGAAGTTTGCCCCAAGCAGGTACACTCACGGGCCCAGAATGCAAAGTCCCAAAGCAAGGCCAATGTGGGCTTGAAGCCAGCAAGAAATCAACACTTCTTGGCCTGCTTCACGGATGATTTTGTGGTGTAGGGTTCAGGGTTTAGGGGTTTAGGGTTTAGGGTTCACCCCAAGAAGGCTGCTTTAGCGAACCAAGAAACTAATACACAAATGCTGATATTAGTAGTTAATGACAACCATCATCATGATCGTAAGGAAGACAGGGACGGTTTTAGGGAATGAGGTTACAGGTTCAGAGAGTAGGGCTTGAGCTTGAGGAATTGGGGGTCTACGGGTCTAAGGGCTAGAGATTGGGGTTAAGGGTATTCAGGGTCTAAGGTTTAGGGGGAAGGGTGGGACTCTCGAAGATCAGGTTTTACCTTAAATTTTGCCCAAAAGGCCATTATTCTACAGACTTTGGGGGTCCAGGTAATTGCTTCTCACAGGTTTGGGCAGCATAGCTTGTTCCACAGGGATGCCAACGCGACTCTCCTTGAGAAGAACCGGAAGATGATGCGATTGATTCAGTGTTTAGGGTTTAGGTTTTGGTGCTTACGGCTTTGACTTTCCATATTCCCTAAGCCATAGAAAATAGCCTCCGACCGCGGTATCTGAGACCCAACGCCCAGCTACAAACTTCACGTGCACACATTTGAAGTCTTTGATCCTAGACGCTGGGCCCTGTGACCCTCCACCTATGATTGCCCCATCCTACGCCAGTCCAGCAACATGACAATAACATGATACCCTCATCGAACGTCAGATATGACTGCAATAGATGTGGGGCAGTACGGAACCCTAAACTCTATAGATCTTGAAATATAGAGAGTAGGCATTAATACGCAAATCCTGGAGACTAGACCCTAAAGCCTGTAGCCTTGCACCGCCAGACGGAATAGGCCAGAGGTTACATTGTCAGAATAGAGTTCATGGTGAAAAAAGTGTAGCCCCCTGTTCGCCCTTAGTTACTATAAACTTCTAGGGGTGAGAGATCAAGGAGAGTATTCACCCTATTACTCGGGGGCTTGCGAGATCAAGGACGGTATCCCTAAACCCTGTTACTAGGTAGGTCTGAGACATACCCTGAACCCTAGCCCTAAATCCTAAACCTTCAACTCTAAACCCTGAACCCTACACCGGGGTCCGAGATCAAGGAGAGTATCACCAGGGGTTTTGAGCCAGCGAAGCAGCGCCTTCACACGCACAGCCGCCCGAAAAAAAGCCTGGAATGCTCCACTCAAGGCTACTTTTCCTTACCCTAGAGCTCCAATGGCCCAATGTAGGTGCTATTTATGGACGTGGAGCCCCAGGATTATTTATACCCCTCGAATACGCCCGTGAAAAATGATTTGGGAGAGTTACGGGGCAGATCCAGACGAGGAGACTAAGCGCCAGTCCGGGCATTTTGGAAGGGGTTTAGGGGTTTAGGGGTCAAGGGTTTAGGGGTTTAGGGTTTAGGGGTTGAAAGTGGGTGCTCCAGAAGCATGGGTGCTCCAGAAGCATTCTTAAGAGCAGTTTGGGGACTCAGGGAATAAGCCTGCGCAAGCCTGAATACGCCCCACCCTAAAGGGCGGATTTCGGGTTGAGAGCGTGCAGGGCCCTAGACCTAGCATAACGAGCGGAGTTGGGTAACCCCAGTCCCCAAAATGTCGGCTCTCGTATAGTCATGTATGATTCGATGGCTATATAAACCTTAATCTGGGGCATAGGCTTTTGCCATAACCCTCTTGTGATGACCAGAATCCTCTTCATCCCTTCATACTAATATATTACCACCCCTCCACCCCTAACATAAATGAGTATTCTCTGAGCCCTAAACCCCAAATCAGGCAGCTTGCTTTAAAGACCTTGGACCGAGACCTTAATCCAAAAACCCGAGGCCCTGAGCCCTAAGCCCTAAACCCTAGACCCTAAACCCAAATCCCGAAACCCTAAGCCTTAGACCCTAAAGCCTAAAGCACCAAAACCCTAAACCGTCCTGACAAAACGGCAGTGTATCAATGGGCATCCATATTTGGAGGCAGGGTTCTAAGTACCTTGTCCTGGGGCATCAGTGGTTATGAGCGTATGTAATCCCATTTAGCCGTTAGCATAGCCCCTAAACCTCCAAGTACTGTGAAATGGATTTCAAGGCTAGGGCCTGCATGGAAACTCTAGTTTACATTCGAGATAATCTCTGATGAGGTCCTTCGCAGATGGTATGATTTAGGATTCACCTCCTTGCTTGGAGGGTCAGGGGGACTTACTAAGTAGGTTAATAACCCCTATAACCCATATAGTAACCCCAATTATCCCCATTATTACCCTAGTTATTAAGTCCCTATGACCCTCCAAGTGCCTTCGGCCAAACCCGGCTGCCGGAGCCCTATAGCCCTAAGCCAGGTTCACACACGGCTAACCAGCGTCGACATAAGCGACCTGCTGCAGCAACAAAAGTATTCCTGGGGCACACATCTTAAGCAGCTAAGTACACACGGAGCCACCAAACCCTAAGCCGAAAAAACCCAAAGCCCCTACACCCAAGACCTCGAAATGAAAGAACAGAATGCGGTTTCCACAGTCTTCGTCCTGGAACGCTGATAGATCTGCATGCATCTGCGGACTTTCCCTCGAGCTGAATTGAGCGCATGTGCCCTATGTAGTTCCAAATCTAGAGACCAGGCCCGAGTTTCTTTGCATGTGTACCCTAAGCCTAGGGATCCAAATAGCTCAATGGAGCTAATACTATAGACTTTGGGACCCAATGTAGGTATTAGTTGTATACTTGGATCCCTAGGGTAACAGCACCAGCTCGATAATCCGGGCACTTGAGGAGTTTTGCCCAACCGGAGAATAACAAACGGAGGTCTTGCAGCTAAACTGATCCCTGAAACCTCAAACCCACTACACCAAGCCGTAAACCCGAAACCCACAACCCTAAACCCAGAGCCTTAGCCCTAAACCCTAAACCCATAGGGTCCTAGCAGAGTGGCCCATGTCCACTCTCAGCTATGGCCGTAGCGCTGCCGTGTCGATCCGTTAGGGCATGGAAGGTGCTATCGGAGAGGGGCGGGGGAGTTGGGGATGGGGTTTTGCCACAATTATGTAGTGAAAGCCCCAAATTTCAGCCAGGTAAGCTCCGATAGTTTTGTTCAAGCAGTATTGTTGATTACACTTTATTCGTCGTGCTCCTATTAAGGAGTTAAAGTTTCAAGATACCAATCATGGACTCCTGGCCCCAAATACAGCAAACCATGACAGAAGCCAACATGACATTAGCCTGCTCGAGCGGCTCGAAGGTTTCTTTCGCGGACGCCTTCTTTGTGTCAGGCTATTGGATGTTGTGGCCGATTTTGAGGTCCAGGAGCCCCGGCAACTGACGGACGGGCAATCCCCTCTTTCCAACCAACTCCGCACATCTAGGCATAAACGTTCCGAATCGCATACCTTTGTGCGCAATATCAATTGCGGTGAAGGGTAATCACTTGGAGAGGGGAGTAAAATGTTAAATTCAAAGGTATAACCGCGTAGCTCTACTTCTTGTATATAGCCTGTTTACAAAGGTCCAACGCATCTATGTGAGGATTGGCAGTTCATTCATTGGAGGAACGAGTAGGGACAGGCTTGCCCAATTTCAGGGTCTGGTGCTTCAGGACCATCATTAAACCCTAAACCCTAGAACTTAATCCTAATGTCGGCATCGCATTAATGATATAGACACACCACTCGATTGTTGTATCTTATCTGTTTTTTTTTTTGTTGAGGGGGGGGATTCATGTTGGCAAATGTGTTAGTTTGAACATCTATGTAGAAACAAGCAAAATCCAAGCAAAAGCATTGCCCCCAAGAAATTTGTTTGCCCGGAATATTCATTGTGGATTGTGAGTATACTTATCATTGTGTTCCGCCGGTGGGATTTCTTGAATGCGGGTAAATTCACTACTGCGCAGTCAACCTTACATCCAACAGCCTAAACCCCAAAACTACATCCTAAATAGAAGTGTTGTGCCACCCTCGTGCTAGGTGGGAAATGAAGGCATGGAAAAGAACGTGCACTTACCGTAGGTTTTGGGTTGTATGGTTTGGCAAGAGAAGTAAAGCAGGTATACTTACAAGTCCAGTTAGGGTACCTCAGTCCTACTTTTAGCTCTTCACGAAGCTCCAAGCAGTCATCACGCGAGCCGTGTATCTTAGGGGTCGGCCTGCGGCGTCCACGGGCCCGCCTGGGAATCTGAATCAGGTCTACCCTTAATCAGCCCTGTTTAAAGGACTAGGGCATTGATACCTACCTTGGCCCCAAACTGTGTGTAAAGCGATCGTTTTTTGGTTTACTAGTTTGATTCCAAGTAGTCCCCCAAGATAACTTAGAACCCGGGATGGGTCCTGTAAATACTGGGGTTTAGGGTTTCGGGCTTAGTCCCTTCACATGAATTCGGCGATGTTCTAGTAGGCTCCAAGGTTACAGGCTGGTACCGACTTCAGGGTCTGTAGGGATTACAGGTACCATGATGGGTATATATGGGTAGTTGTCAAAATTA